TGTGTGTGTGTGTGTGTGTGTGTGTGTGTGTGTGTGTGTGTTATGGAGTGGCATGGGGATGTAGACTTGAAGTTAGTGTTCTCTTCCATCATGGTGCTGGATACGGCATAGGGTTGGGGCAGAGGGATGACTGTGAATCAATTTGCCATAGCTTAGCTTGTTAAAAGCCAGTTCACCTAATGACTGGTTTCTTTGAATATGTTGTGTGTCTGCTTGGGCCTCCTTTTGTTTTTGATAATCTAAGGATATTTAAAAGCCCATTTGGCTGAAAGCATTTCCTCTTGTGAATAAGTATTTATCAAATTTGCAGCATTGATGAATGATGGGATTATTTTGTGCCCTTGTGTCTTTGTCTATTATGACTGTTTTAAGGACTTTTCAGTCCATGTGTGGAAAGATAGTATAATTAATCACAATAAATTGGTGTGCACTACCAACAGGGATGCCACGGTGCCTAGTGAAAGATGATTTAAGGTGAAGTGGCCTGTTGTTCAGTCCAAATCCCTTTTCTCCCTATTTTCTCAGGAGGTTCCTGGGGCCTGGCCCCCAACAATATGAAGAGCCTTTGCTGAGGCCATGAGGGGTTACCATGGCGACCGAGGCAGCCATCCCCGCCCAGCCCGCTTTGCTGACCAGCAGCATATGGACGTGGGCCCAGCTGCCAGGGCCCCGTACCTGCTGGGCTCCAGGGAGGCCTTCTCCACCGAGCCCCGCTTCTGTGCCCCGAGAGCTGGCCTGGGACACCTTTCTCCAGAAGGGCCCCTGAGCCTGAGTGAGGGTCCATCATCAGTAGGCCCCGAGGGAGGCCCAGGGGGGGTGGGGGCTGGGGGAGGCAGCAGTACCTTCCCCAGGATGTACCCCGGCCAGGGCCCCTTGGACACCTGTGAAGACTGTGTGGGCCACCCACAGGGCAAGGGTGCCACCCGCCTGCCTCCAACACTCCTGGATCAATTTGAAAAGCAGCTGCCAGTTCAACAAGATGGCTTCCACACACTCCCATACCAGCGAGGTCCAGCAGGGCCTGGGCCTGGACCTGGATCTGGCCCTGCCCCTGAGGCTCGCAGCGAGAGTCCTAGCCGCATCCGGCACCTTGTTCACTCTGTGCAGAGACTCTTTGCCAAGTCCCACTCTCTGGAGGCCCCCGGGAAGCGAGACTATAATGGGCCCAAGGCTGAGGGAAGAGGTGGCTCTGGGGGAGACAGCTACCCTGGCCCAGGCTCTGGAGGCCCTCACACCTCCCACCATCACCATCACCACCACCATCACCACCACCACCAGTCCCGGCATGGCAAACGGAGCAAGAGCAAGGACCGCAAGGGGGATGGGCGACACCAGACCAAGGCCACAGGCTGGTGGAGCTCTGATGACAATTTGGACAGTGACAGTGGCTTTCTGGCGGGTGGGAGGCCCCCTGGAGAGCCTGGTGGTCCCTTCTGCATGGACGCTCCAGATGGGTCCTATCGGGACTTGAGCTTCAAGGGGCGTTCGGGCGGGTCAGAAGGCCGCTGCCTTGCCTGCACTGGCATGTCCATGTCACTGGATGGACAGTCAGTCAAGCGAAGTGCCTGGCATACCATGATGGTCAGCCAGGGCCGGGATGGATATCCAGGGCCCGGGCCAGGCAAGGGGCTCCTGGGTCCAGAGACCAAGGCCAAAGCCAGGACTTATCACTATCTGCAGGTGAGGCTTTGTGGGGTGGGGAACCATGCCCTGGGTCCTCACCAGTCTGGTCAGCTGGGGAACAGTGGGCATGGTTGGGTGGAATCCAGCTGTCCCTGGATCAGAGGTCTTGAAGGCAGGAGGCTCTGCCTCTGGCATACCCTGAGTTCCCTTTGGGATTTTACCTTACTCATTTGTACAATGAAGGGACCCCTCTAATTTGACCATGAATGCCAATACCAGGAAGACTTCTTGACCTTCTGGTTTGGATAAGATGTTCTCACCTCTGTCTTCTGGGGTTGAAGGCAATGTGTGGTTAAGGTAAGGCAGGGGATGGGACAGAGTGCTACTAGCAATGGTACTGCCTTGGAGCTGGGAGCTTGGCAGTTGGAGAGATTTTCTTCCTGCCCCAAGCCCTTCCCTAGACCTTTTATACTCAAATCCAGTTGGTCCAGTTACTGGAATATGAAGATCAGTTTCCAGAACATGCCTCTATTTGGGTTTGTCATTCTGGGTTATAGTGTGGGGGGACAGTCTAGGAAATTATGGAGGAACCTGGAGGCATGCATTTTGGCCATTTTCCAAGGCAAGTGACGTATTGGAGTTTGATTCCTGTTGTCATTCAGACAGGGCTTCTTAAGAGTGGATAGCCAAGAGTGATGGCTTTGGAGTTTTCCCATACTGTCCCATGTAACCTTGTGGTCCTTTTGCCATGGTTAGGAGCTCTGACTCCTTTCCTTGGGTTTTCATGCTAGCTTCATCCAGCCCGAACTGATTTAGTCAGTGCTCCTGTCATTTTAGGAGGAAAAGTCAACACAAGTGTTGGCGATCCAACAGATTTAGGGTTATCTCTAAAGTTCACATGGCTCCTAGGTTGTTAGTCCACATCCGTTCATTCAATGAGTATGTCCTTGATACAGTGATCAGGACCCCTGCTGCGGAGAGCTCACAGTTCCTAGGGAATAGACCAGGAAGCAGATGGTAAGCTGTGTGATAGAAGAGAATCCTGGGTCCCATGGGAACAGAGGAGGCTCCTCGCTCACCTGTGGGTGGTGGCTAGCAGTGGCTGGGGGAAGCCTCTGTGAGGAATGTCTCCTGAGCTGACTCTCTGTGGAGGGGTTGGAATTAGCCAAGTGCAGACTGAAGGTGTTCCAGGAAGATCGTCAGAAGGCATGGAGAGGCAAGCTTGCACAAGCCTGTGGGGTGACATTGGCCTGGCTTGTTAGTTGTACACACTCTCCTGGGGGAGTCCATGAAAGCCCAAGAGAGCAAATAGGACTATTGCAAAAACAGGATGAGACAGCTGGGATTTGAGATGTGTAGGTTAGCTTCAGATTGCTCCCTCCCTGGGTGGGGAGGTGCTCTAGGCTGAGAACTGAAGAACAGGGGAGGAAACACTCAGCCTTCCTCCCTGTAAGCCGGCCAGCCACCATTTTGCTGCTCCCTGCTGCTTCTCCAGGGCTGTCCTGACTTCCCTGGGGGCTTCCTTTTTAACATGCACCTCACAGTGTCCTGCAGAGGAGCAGAGAGCTCTGCGGTGGCTGTGGAGTAGGAGCCCTGCAGTGTGGCAGTGTGCGCCCTGGCCTCCCATTTGCTGGCCTCCTGCCACTCCTCTCTGTAGAGGATGGGGGTGGGGATGGTTCCCAGAGCCTGAGGTTCCAGAGCATCCTATCAGGATGGGGGTTCACCCATTTGTGGGTGAACTAAAGACTGCAAGGACCTTCCAAGACAGCCTAGGGCTTCTCTGGCACAGAAGCAGGGGAGGTTGGCTCTATGTGACCTGGTGTCTTCATTGGGATGTTCCCCTCCTCTTTTTTTGTTTTGTTTTGTTTTTCGAGACAGGGTTTCTCTGTGTAGCTTTGGAGCCTATCCTGGCACTCACTCTGGAGACCAGGCTGGCCTCGAACTCACAGAGATCTGCCTGCCTCTGCCTCCTGAGTGCTGGGATTAAAGGTGTGAGCCACCAACACCTGGCCTCTTTTTTTTTTTTTTTCAAGATAGGGTCTCATGTAGCCCAGGGTGGCCTTCAACTAGCTGTGTAGCCCAGGCTATCTCCAAAGTGCAGCAATACATCATCACGCTCACCTTCCCACCCCTTTAATGAAGCCCAGATTCTCTCAGAGGACACTGTGAGTCTATCCTGGATCCCTACTTCCCCCTCAGAGCTTCATTCATCTCTTTTCTGTTTCCATCTCCCTTCTGATGGCGCCCTGGCTTCTCACTGAGCCTGCTCCCTTATAAGGGTATCTATCTCCCTCTGCCTCCACTAGCTTTGCCCTTCCCTCAGCCTTGCTCCTTCTTGGAGCCCTGTTTAACTTCTTCCTTCCGCATGTGCTTTCAGTCCTTGCTGCCTCCCCCAGCCTTCTCCCCTTATACCTCATTCTTCACAGCTGTAGGTGACCATCATGGACTCCAACTCATGCTGGGTTGGTCCCTCCTCCACAGGGCTCCTCAGCCCCTCCATCCCTCTACTGCTCCTGTAGTT